CCCCCCCCCCCCCCCGGCCTGTTGAATTCGCCGTGTCCGTGTGTCGGTGTGTCCGTGTGTCCGTACCCCTGTGTCCGTAAACAGCCGGTCCGGGGTGGGGCTGCCCGGTGATTTCCACGCCCCCCCACCATTAGCACGCCCCTTCCCCCCCCGGCGGCCGCCATCCCTACGCCGGCAAACACCGGAGGTAGGGGGGGTGGTCCCCAGGTTGAGACTCCTTCCCCCCCCCCCCAGCGGTTAAGCTCAGGGCCGTATTTACCTGCTCTGCTGAGGTTGGCAGCCGGGTTCTTCCCCGCGTTCTGCCCACGTCCCCCTGCCCGCATCCCCCCGAACTGCAGCGCTGTCCCCTGGTCCCTATTCCCTGGGGTCTGTCCCTGTGTCACCCCCCCCGCCCACCTCCCCGTGGGGTGAGCCCCATCTGATGGCACCCAATGCCCTCATCGCCTATGATCAAGGCACACTGGTTGTACTGGGCTGTACTGGTTCTCTCCTGGGAGAGCTGCCCCCCATGCCCTCAGTGCTCCCAATACTGGAGGAAGATCTATGAGGAGCTGGGGGGGGGGGGGGCTCATCCAGCTGCAGGGCTGCTGCTGACTCCCCTCCTGCCTCCCCCCCAGGCTCCAGCAATGCCTGTGAGAAGACATCCTTCGCCTTCCTGCGGCAGGAGCTGCCCGTGCGCCTCTCCAACATCATGAAGGAGATCAACCTGCTGCCCGACCGCGTGCTGCGCACCCCCTCCGTGCAGCTGGTGCAGAGCTGGTGAGCACAGAAGCATGGGGACATCGCCCCCATCGTCAGCTGCTGGGTGGCACCGGGACGGGTCCCACCGTTGGCACCTGCTGTGTGTCCCTATGGGTCCCACTGCAATCCCCCACAGGGGTCTGGTCCTACTGCCACCACCTGCTGGGTGTCCCCATGGGTCCCCCCATTGTCGTTTGCCCTATTCACCTATAGGTGCCACTGTTGTCGCCAGGAGGGGGCCCACCATTGCCACCTGCTGGATGCCCCTATGGGTCCCCCTACAGTCACCCAGAGAGGTCCTGCTGTCACTACCAGATGCCCCTGTGGGTCCGATTGCTGTCACCTGAACGGATCCGTTCCCACTGCCACCACATGTCCCTATAGGTCCTATCACTGTCATCTAGAGGAGTCCCACTATTGTCACCTATCTGCTAATGGATCCCACTGCTGTCACCCATAGGGGTCTGATCCTACTGCTACCATCTGCCAAGTGCCCCCTTGGGTTTCACTGTTGTCACCCAGAGGGATCCCACCATTGTCACCTGCTATATGCTCCTGTGGGTCCCACTGCTGTCACCCAGAGGGGTCCCATCATCAGCCAGGTGGCCCCATGTCACTACAGTCACCCAGAGGGATCTCACTGCCACCATATGCCTCTCACTGCTGTCACCCACAGGTGTCTGATCCCATGGCACCACCTGCTATATGGCCCCATGGGTCCTACTGCTGTCACCAGGGGGGGTCCCACCATTGTCACCTGCCACATGCCCCTGTGGGTCCCACCAAAGTCACCCAGAGGGGTCCCACTCCCACCACATGCCAGCCATCCCCATACGTCCCACTGCTGTCACTCAGAGAGTCTTACTGCCACCGCTTGCCATATATCCCTATAGTTCATATTGCTGTCACCAGGACGGGTCCACCGTTGTCCCCTGCCCTGTGCCCCTATGGATCCCACTGCTGTCACCCAGAGGGGTCAATCCCACTGCCACCACCTGCTAGGTGCCCCCATAGGTCCCTCTGCCATCACTTGCCTGCTGTCCCTGTGGGTCCCACCTCCATGGCCTACACAGATCTCACTGTGACTTCTGTCATTGCTGCCACCTCTGGTCCCCCCATCACCACTGCCAGCTGTCCTCCCCAGCAGGTCCATGGGGTGCTGGTGGGGGTCGGTGGCACAGGGACAGGACACAGACATCCCGCATAGCAGCACCCATCTCTTAGCCTGGGGTGACAGTGGCTGCACGGGGACACGCACAGGGATCCTCAACCGACGGTGCTGCCCCATCCTCCTGTCCCTGCTGTCCCCTCCCCCCCTTGGGGCGGGGGGGGGGGGGGCTTGGGGGGGGGGCTGGGGGCAGGTTCTGGGTGTCCCTTTAAGGGCAGTGCTGGCAGCCTGGCCATCTCCCAGCTCCCAGCCACCACGTGACGAGTTGTTTGTGTCCTCAGCTCTGTGCCAGCACTGCCAGTGGCACTGGGGGGGGGGGGGGGAGAGGGGGGGGCGTTGGGGGGTAGCAGGGCCTGGCAGTGCCCCTCTGTTCAAGCACACGTATGGGGGGTGGGCAAATCGCTGTGACCTCCTGGGGGAGGCTCTGTCTCTGCTGTCCCCATGGTTGCCATGCTGTGGGGTGGGGGCACGAGCACGCATCCCCCTCCCCATGAGCACAGGGTGGTTTAGTAAGGTGGGGTGCTGAGCCCCCGTCCCTTTGTCGGTGTCCCCTCCGTTTGGGGTGGCCGTGGGGTGACCATCTCCTCCCCCAGGTACGTGCAGAGCCTGCTGGACATCATGGAGTTCCTCGACAAGGATCCTGAAGACCAGACCACGCTGGGGCAGTGAGTGTGGGGTGACCCCCCCACCCCCCCCATAGCATCACCTCTGGCACCACAGCCCCATTTTGTATTCTCCTATGGGGAGAATACCACCTATGGGAACCCCCATCCCCCCCCCCC